ACCCGCCCTACGAGTGGATGATCCTCCGATGTTGTCATTCTTTTACGCGGTATTTGGACGGTATGTTACGCTTATGGAACTGTTGTCTTTCAATATCTCGGTGGTGCCTTATTTTCGCGGTCTTGTTCTACGATCACGTGGTGTTACGATGTTGAACCATGACGGCATATTGCGGCATTAGGACTTACGGTCGCGTTGTGCGGTGCCACCAGACCTACAGGCGGACGTCCACCAGGTGGAGAGTGGCCTGGGACCCCTGCGGGACGTGCCCACTCGCCACCGTTCGCCCACCCGCCACCGGTCACCCACCCGTCACCGGTCACCCACCAGCGTCACAGGTATGCAGGGATAATGCTGGTCCCCCACCCGCCACCGGTCACCCACCAGCGTCACAGGTATACAGGAATGATGCTGGTCTCCCATCCGCCACCGGTCATCCGCCAGCGTCACAGGTATACAGGAGTGGCGCCGTCCCGCCCCCGTCCCCCCCCCCCTTCACGGGTCCTCCACCAGCGCCACAGGTGCGGCACTTCCTGCTGTGGCTCGCTAGCAGGCGGGTTCAAGACTGGGCTGTGGTCTTTCCGGTGACGGACAGAGACGCGGTGCTGGGCCTCCGTTTGCGTCTGATGCTGTTGGTTCTGGAGCAGGCGGAGGCACGCAGTGGCGTTCTCGTCAGTGGCGACCCGTTATTGTGAGTTGGCCCGTGTCTGCAGATCACCCGATTGACCTGATATCGGAGCTGCCGGAAGACAGGCTGGCGGAGGACGACACCAAGCTCTCCGTCTCTTCTATGCAGGTGGGTGAGGCGCAAAGGCAGCCGAGCGACCTCTCTGCTCTGCTGGCGCGTTGGCCGCCGCCCTGTCGCCTTTTCACTGTTCCGTGGGTTTCGTTGCGTTATTGGGCCCGCCTAAGCTCATCGCAGCACGTAACAGACGATCTCCGGTATCCTTAAGCGCACGACGTGCTGCTGAAAAGGAATGCATGAGTTGTGTTGCTGGGGTTGTCTGCCATTTGTCTCCTTGCGCTTGCACCGCAGGCATGCATGCCACCGTCCCTAATACGTCATGATCGGTGCCGCGTTGCATTCGTCAGACGCCACCTGTCTGCCCCCGTCGTCTTTCCGTACCTGGCCCCCGCCGCGCGGCCGTGACTGGCTTGGGCCCGGCTGTCCATGAGTGCCGCCCCTCCGCTGGCCCCTCCTGACCCCGTCCTCCCCGGCAGACCGGCCGTGAGGAGCTGCCGACCCGCCTCTCGCTCGCCATGGCGCCGGAGATGGACGACATTCGCGAGTCGGCCATTTTCGACCTGCCGGCGTTGCTGTCGGCCGTGCGCGAGCGAGGTGAGCGCCGGCCGGAGCCGCGGTGTCGGGTCCCGTCTGCTGACGCGGCCGACGCTGAGGTCGAATGTCCCGGCGTACAGCTCGCCGCGCCTGCAATCGCGTGTCGGGCAGGGCTCGCAGCGGCTGGTGGTGTGATGGGTACGTGTGAGCGGAGAAATGAAAGTCAGATTTGCATTGTGGTTTGAATGGTATGGTTGGCTTCAGTTAGATGTCGCATGTGAAATGTTTTTTATTACGTCACCACCCAGTATTCTTTACAAACGGTTACGATATGCAAACTGGATGCCGGCGCTCGTCAAGGCTTGCAAATGCATTTACACCGCTGTTGGCACAGGCCTGGATTTTTTCTTCAGAAATGGCGCATCGCGACAGAACGCGCGCCGGCCCTCGACGCCGGGGGCGGCACCTCTACGTCCCTCTGACCGTCGCGCCGTCTCCGATGTTGCAGTGCAGAACACGATGCCCTCCGGCTACTTCCGTCGGACGCTGAGCGTGTCGGACACGAGCACGGGCCGGCAGGCGGACTCGCGCGGCGTCGGCCGGTCTCTGGTGGAGCTGCGGCACGGCCGGCCGGCGCCGGGGCACTCCGCGCCGTCGCCGCCGCCGCCGCCGCCCCCTCCGCCACCGCCACCACCCCCTCCGCCGCCGCCACCGCCGCCACCGCCCCCGCCACCCCCGCCACCGCCGCCCGCTCACTGTCAGCCGCAGCAGGTGGGTGGAAGCGTCACGGCTGGCGCCTACCCCGGCCTGGAGGGGGGGGGGGGGGGGGGTCTTCATCGGGGACGCTCTCTCGTGAGGACTCTCCCGTCGTTCAGGCTGTCACAGTCGCCAATCGTGGCGAGTGGACTGGGGGGAGGGGAGGATTCTCTCAGACGCCTCCGTCGGGCGCAAAATGACTGCCGCTGTCGAGGCGCTTTGAAGTCCAAATAGCTAACTAGCTCAGTCGCCTCTGTGTAGCGAGAAGTGCAGCAGACGGAGGGCGTTGCTTGATGGGGACCGGGCTATCTCGCATCCATCTGCCGAACACAGCGGCTTGACGGCCGCCGGACAGCGGCTCCACCCGTCTGTGACCTCGCTGAGCTTCCCTCGCACCTAAGTGCCGTCGTCATGCGTGCGTGCGCGTGTGTGTGCCCGCAGTCGCGGCCGTCGGCGTCGTCGGAGGCGGTGGAGCAGAGCGCCAGCGACGACGAGGCGCGGAGCAGCGACTCCCCGCTGCTGGAGGACCAGTCCGCTGACGCCGCGCCCACCGCCGCGTACAGCGGCGCCGACGCCGGTGAGGGGTCACCGCCAGAGGTCACCGCCAGAGGGGGGGGGGGGGTAGCCCCCGCCCTGCCGAGGAGCCGGTTGGGACGTCACCGCCAGAGGCGCGCCGCTGGGTGGGCAGCTCCCGCCCTGCTGAGTGCCTGGTTGTGGCTGTTTGGGAACTGTTTTGGTTAGGGGAGTTGGCCGGGCTATTTGTGCTTTTTCAGGCCGTTGTGAGCGCTTTGCGGTCAGAGTTACAGGCGCTGTTACCCTTAAAAGTTATCACGTGAGCCGTCAGCCCCAACGGAGCGCCGATAATTGACTATCTTTTTTGTGGCAAATGATATCCGGTTCGAAGCCTTTGAAGTGCAAGAATCTCACAAATCAATATGCCCTACAAGTTTTTACTTCCCCAACCATGTCCGTGATGGCTATTCGGCCTGTGACGCTCCTGAGTTGGCGTATAGCCCGCGAACCTGTCAGAAATCACCCTAGGCGGGCTAGTGCCGGTGCACCGACCAACGCTCCGAAGAGATACCCAAGCTTCGTTTTCACTGCGATTTGTGTCAGAAGAACCACCGGAAATGTGGGGTGGACTTATTCCCAGAGAGATCCTCCGACCAGTGCCAGCTGATGGGGCAGCCTGAATCAAAGCTGCTGTCCTCCGGAGCATGGTCTGGCAGCTCAGTTCCCCACCCCCCTCCCCCCCGCCCTCCCCGTCCGCTGCGTGTGTGCAGCAGAGCTGAGCTGTCGTTCCGCGTCTGGCTGCCGTGTCCTGCGTGGCTCGGGCTCACACCCGCCTGCCGTCCGCCTCCTCGACACCCATCGTCCGGACCCCGCCGCCCCGACCGCCGCCGCCTTGACCTTGACCTCGACCCTTTACACCTGAGCCGCTATTCGGTCCCCTCCACCGTGACCGCCGCCTCGCCCTGACCGCCACCACCTGGGCCTGAAGTCCTCCCGCGGCCTCCATCCTGCCCTAAGCCGCCAAGCCAACTAGGCCGCCGCTGCCGCGTCAACGCGGCCCACCCACTGACGGCCGGTCGGCGCGCTCTTCGGCAGCGGGTGACCTGTGGTCGCGGCCGGCGCCGACCGACTCCGGCTCGCCTTCGACGGTCGACGACGACATCAGTGTGCACAGTCTGACCGGTCTGCAGCGGCTCTTCTCCGGTGAGGGTAGGGGCCGGCCAAAGAGGTCGGTGGTCGGGTGTGCTCTCGTGGGGCATTGTGGCCTGTGTTGTGGAAGAGCGCTGGTTGGATTGGATTGCGCCGTATTTCGCGGAGCAGGTTGTGAGTTGGCGTAAACAGCAGCTGGTACTCGTGAGCTGTCGCAGGGTGAGTGGTCAGACGCCGCCTCGGGGCAGCCGAGGTCACCCAGACCCGAGGGGATCTCGGGACAGCCTGGGGGAGGGGGACGGGTGAGCAGGTCTGTGCCTCTCCACGTGGTGTGGTTTGGGTAGTCTGTGCATCTGCACGATCATGAACCTCCACTAGAGCAAATCACGTGGTGGAAGCCCCAGCTGTGTACCGCAGAATGCACGTAGCACCAACCTGCTCATGGGCCTGCCGAGCCCCGGTTGTCCGCCGCCTCCGGCCCGGGATGCCAGTCGCCTGACCCTACACGCGCTCCGTCCGTCCGCCAGGTGGCCTGGGGCCGGACGGTGGACCGGCCATGTCCACCGCCGAGCAGGGTGCCGTGCCCAAGGAGAGGACGCACCATCGTTCGCGCACCTTCGCTGGTCAGTAACCGCCGACGCGCCGCCCGTGGCTGCTCCTCACGCACGCCCGCGTGACCCGAAGCGTGTGCACCCTGTGTCGGTTTTGGCACACCCCGGCGGCGCCACGTGCCCGCGTGGCCCGAGTCGTGCGCCCCGAGCGGAGCCGCTGTGTCTGTGTTGGAACACCCCAGCGGCGCCGTGTGGCTGCGCGCGCGAGGTGACCGGCCGGTGGCGCTGTTCCAGTGTCGTCTCGCTCGGAGCTGAGCCGCGGCGAGCGGCGCCACGGCGCCCACTGGGACGGCCACGGCGGCCGCGCCCGCGACGGCCACAGAGGTGAGGCCCGGCTGGTGGCGGTGGCGGCGGCGCGGCGGTCTCCTGGCCAGCGAGGCCCTGAGCGTGGAGCGAACGGCCGGATGTGTTGGGACTGGTATAGATGGCGGGAGAACATCATTCAGTGCCCAGGGGAAGCAAATGACACCGTCTGGGAACCCCTTCGTAGCGGCCGCCGTCCGCGGTCGGTGATGTTCGCGGGTTCGGTGCGTGGCAGCTGGTGCGCTGAGGTCACTCCTCCCGGCTGGTGACCGGCGCTCGTGGCCCGTCCCGCGCCACCAGGCTCGGGTCGTCAGCGCCGCTCGTCCAGCCCGCGGCGGGCGTGTCGTCGCCGCCGGCCGGCCGGACACGAGGACAGCGTGCCGCCGCCGGCCGGCGGCCTCCTCACCGCCGCTGGCACCCACCTGGCCACTTCGCACGATGACACGACCGAGGGCGCTGTGCATTACTTCCAGGTCGGTGGCCGAGCCGTCGTCTCGCGCCTGGGGACATCGGAAGTGAGATGGGGTGTAGCAGGAGGTTGGAAAAATGGCTGCGATGTGCTGCAGATCATTGATAGGGGTGGTGGTTGCTTGTTTTCTATGTCGGGTGTAATAACTTGACACTCACTCACCAGTATGATAGTCGTCATTCCCATTGAGTCGTCGGTAGGCGTGCTGACCGCAATTGTCTGGTGCGTTTTAGAGAAGTCGTCTGACCAAAACGTACCAGATTCTGTAATTGTTGTGCACTCTGGTAGGGGTCGTGCACTATGCTAGTTGTGCGCGCTTTTTTATTCGTCTTTAGTCACATTTTTACACATGCACGGGACAAAGTTGGACAGCTTGCGCGTCGTCTCTGGCAACTTCATTTCTGAACCGCTATGTATCGCGTCCTTTTCTCTCCGATATCGGAGGTGGGCAATTGTCAAGTACGGCATCACCGATGACAGCATTACTGGGCGCGGCGCCGACCCGGCGCGGTGTCCATGCTCGGCGCGACGTGTGCCCTCGCGCGGCAGGACGAGTTCGGAAACTGGCTGGCGTACGCGTTCGACGAGCGGGGTCCGGGCGGTCCGGTGCCGGCCGGCAGCGACTGGTCCGTCGACTCGGCCGGCCTCAAGCTGGCGTCGGCCGGCGGCGGCCTGGACGGCGCCGGCGACGCGGCCGGCGGCGGCGAGCAGGCCGGCCCCCTGCTGCGCTACCTGCACTCCAGCCTGGGCCTGGGGCCGGCGGCGCGCGCCGCCGACAGTCCGCCGCTGCCGCCCAAACACCACTACCGGCTGCAGGTCTGGGCAACACCGCAGCCGAGCTACGGCACGGCAGAGACGTGCCGTTGCTCTTACCCTCAAGTCGTTGTGTCAGTGGGGGACCCCTTACAGGCTTCTGTGGGAGCCGTAGGTCCTAGGCAGACCACTGGCTATGACCGGAAGGGCCCGCTTTATAAATGTGATAGGTGCGTCGTAACACGATTGATAGAGTGCGGTGGGTGAGGGAGGGATAGCTGAGCGGCAGGCTGCGGGCCCGCTCGTCCCGCCTCGCTACCAGCGACAAAGTAGCCGAGCGCCCGTCAGCCAGTCCCCTCCCCCACCCCCTCTCTGGCCGGCTCGAACGACCGACGCACGCCGTGCATGTATCTGCATCTCGACGCTCGGCCTCGTGATCGTGATGAGAACGGGTGCGCTTCGTCCGCGTGTGGCCGCGCCGTCCGTCCCGGTCGCCGTGCGCCGCTCTGACGGCCGTCCGTTCCGTTCCCCAGCTGGGCGGCCGGGCCTGCCTGAAGGTGCGCTTCGACCGACTGGCCCTGCTGGCGCTGCTCGACCGCAACGTCTCCATCGCCGAGAACCTGCTGTCCGTGCTGCTGGCGATGCTCACTGCCCTGCTGGCCGCCGCCCTCCTGCAGGCCGACTTCTACGACGACGTGGGCGTCTTCTTCTTCAGCTTTGTCGTCGCCTCCAGCCTGTACTCGCTGGTCAAGAGCGTGCAGCCGGACGCCGCGTCGCCCACGCACGGCCACAACCGGCTGGTGGCGTTTGGCCGGCCGCTGTACTTCTGCCTGCTGTGCGGGCTCACGCTGCTGCTGCTGCACTGCCGCGCCGTCGACCAGTCGCACGCCGGCGCCCGCCTGCGCCTGTATGGCCTGCGCCTGGCGCCCGGCCCGCTGCTGGACGTGGCGCTGCAGCTGCTGCGCTACCTGCTGGTGCTGCTGCCGCTGCTCTTCACGTCCGGCCTGCTGCCGCAGGTGGACACGTTCGCCATGTACCTGCTGGAGCAGGCGGACATCCACCTCTGCGGGGGCACGGCGGCCACCAGCCTTTGGGCGGCGGCCACCGCCTGGCTGCGCAGCCTGCTGGCCGTGGCCGCGCTCTACGGCTTCGCGTACGGCGGCCTGCGCGAGAACGGTACCAAGCCGACGGCGCAGCATATCCTGTTCAGCATCTTCTGCGGCCTGCTGGTGTCGCTCAGCTACCACCTGAGCCGCAGCCCCAGTGATCCCACCCTGCTGATCCAGGTCTTGAGGTGAGATTCCGCGCCGCTGAACCGAGTGCTATTCTGATACCTGCTGATCCAGGTGTAGAGGTGAGATTCCGCGCCGCTGAACCGAGTGCTACTCCGAGGCCTGGGCCAAAGCCGGTGCCGCAGATCGCTGAGTGTGGCCATCCGGCGCGCTCAGCATAGCTAAAAGGCTCACGGTTTTGACAAATGAATGGTGCGACCAGTTTCCTTGAAGTCGACCTCACACCATGAGCTGGCCGTCCGCTGGTGAGCCTTGTCTTCTGGCGTCCTGTCAGCAGTCTGCTGACCGACCTGGCCAGGTCGGTCAGCCGGCCGACACAGAGCCGTGGTATCGTGACCCGACCTGGTGTGCCGGGTCTGTGTCGGCAACTCCTGGTCAGTCGCTGTCCATGTCGTCTGTGGCGCGGCCGGCCATCGGCAGCGTCTCGGAGCACGTCTGGACCCTGACGTGGCCGACCGCCGGCAGCCGGTACCTGTGCCCGGACCTGGTGGAGGAGGCGCCGCGTGCACCTGACGCGCCGGACACGCCCGGCGACCCGCTTCCGGACCAGCTGCTGCGCACGGCCCGCACGCGGCTCAAGTCGGACGCGCTGGCCTGCACCATCATCGGCGTCATGGTGTTCGCCGTTCATTGCAGCACGGTGAGGCGCCCGCACGGACAGAGAGACTCGGACGCCGCTGAAGGGAAGTTGTCCGGGACTCTAATGCAGGCTGCAGCGCACAAAATTCGAAAAAAGTTACATAAGCTCGGTTACATACCGCTGCTAAGTCACATACCGCTGAGCCGGGCCGGAGATTGCCGTCGCCGCGGGCGTACGACCAATGGCAGAGGTCCGTGTTGTGACGTCATACCATGCTCCCGCGCACCGCTCTCGGTCAGCTCCAGGCAAGCGGTTGCGTTACGGTAAATGCGGACAGTTGTAGCGTGCGGAGGGTGTGGGGCGCGATGGTAGACATTGTGACAAGTATACGTGATCAATGGTGTGCCGATGATTACATTTGAAATGTCTGAGACAATCAAAAGAACAACGAGCTTTCGACCTCATGCCATCTAGGGGTTGTAGGCCTTTTTCCGTCCTTCAAACACCTTTCCATACGACCACAAACTGCTGCCTCATTGCTAGTTATTGTCTGTCGGAGATAACGTATTCAAGTCAAAATCTTCCGAAATTGTATGATATGGAGCCCTATCCACTGAGCCCGATCCGAACGATGAGAACAGAATGACTAAGGCTTGACACTCAGTTCTAGATTACGAATATTGCATGTTCATGCTGCAATGGTGACACGACCGCCCAACGAATGGCGTCAATAACCATGTTGGTATGCAGTTAACGCCAAAGGTACGTTGACATCATTGGCGGGTGGCTGATCACGTGGGCTGTTATTACAAATACGGACTAATCACTTCATGTGTGATCCTAGTCGTGCCTCAAAATAAGGCGGAAAGGAACGGGACAGGCTCTGGCTGCTAGCTCTTTCAAACATCTGGTTGCTTATGGGTTAGCACACTTACGCCGCAATGCGTATTTCATGCGCAGGCACTGCACAGGCACACAGTATCAGAAACGATACCACACAAGCCCGCTACACAAGGACATACCCCGCTACGCCAAGGCCGTCGGACAAGGCAGCTGTTAACTTTTTAAGCACATCACGATCGTGTCAAACTCAAGGATTATCCTCACAACAAAGGGCAGGACGAGGGACATTGCCACCAAGAGATAGGTGCGCGGATGAGCGACATGTATGGACTCGAAGCACGGCCTGCTTGTGACCACCGACACGGAAACAGGCCTCTTAACGTGTATCTGTATGACAGCATTGCTTCCTTTGCTGGTGACGGGAGCATAATCACCTGACGTCTGACGCGGTGTGTCGGCTCCCTTGGTCGGCTCCCGGAGACCACGCACGTCCATGTCTGCCTCTGCGCTCTTATCTATAGCTGTGCACGCCCTTCTCGCGCCGTCTGCACACCATCTGGCCCTCAAGTTCCGCGCTCGATGTGTGCTCACCGCTAAACCCAGAGCTGCGACTAACGCTGCGTCCCCTATGCTGCCATCCGCAGCCGTATCTAACTCGGTGCTCCGCTCCGCAGGTGCTCCCTCGCTTGGTCCGGAGGTGCAGCGGGTGTTCTGGTCTCTGTGCTCCTCTCTGCAGTGTGTCTGACCTCGTGTTTGCCTCGTCGCCAGGTGTTCTCCTCGCTGGGTCCGGAGCTGCAGCGGGTGCTGTGGTCGTTGCCGGCCGGCACCGGCTTCCTGATTCACTACCTGCTGCCACAACTGCGCAAACAGGTGCCCTGGCTGTGCGTGGCGCACCCTGTGCTGCGCGCCGCCGAGTACCGCCAGTTCGAGGTGTCTGAGCCGGCGCGCATCGTGTGGTTCGAGCGGCTCTCCGTGTGGCTCTGCTCGCTGGAGCGCAACATTCTGTATCCGCTGGTGGTGCTGAGTGCGCTCACCGTGGACAGTCCGCGGCTGGCCGAGAAGTTCGGCCTGGAGTGGGCTGCGCTGATTGTCGTCGTGTGCGGCATGAAGAGCCTGCGCACCACGTACGCCGACACCAGCTACTCCTACCTGGTGCTCGTGTTCACGCTGCTGCTGTTCAAGCTCGACTGGGCGGCCCGTTCGGAGACGTTCCTGGTGGACTTCTTCGTGTTGGCGGTGGCGTTCGACAAGGTGCGGGACTTCCTGCTCAAGATCCAGTTCGTCACCACGTACATCGCGCCGTGGCAGATCACGTGGGGCTCGGCGTTCCACGCGTTCGCGCAGCCGTTCTCAGTGCCGCATTCGGCGCTGCTGTTCGCGCAGGCGGCCGTCTCGGCGCTGCTCTCGGCGCCGCTCAGTCCGTTCCTCGGCTCGGCCGTGTTCGTGTTGTCGTACGTGCGGCCGGTCAAGTTCTGGGAGCGCGACTACAACACCAAGCGCGTGGACCACAGCAACACGCGGCTGTCGCTGCACTTGGACCGCAGTCCCGGCGCCAACGATAACAACCTCAACTCCATCTTCTACGAGCACCTCAGCCGATCGCTGCAGCACTCGCTGTACGGCGACATCATGCTCGGTGAGGCTGGTGGCGCTGTCGGAGGACGCCACTTCTGACTGACGTCCCCGCCTGTGCAGAGCTCACTGCAGAGCCGGACTCTCCAAATGCAGGCCGCTTCTGTTCGGCCTAAACTCGGGCAGCTTTTCATGGGAGCTGAAACTCCGGCGCGGCCACCGGGCCAGCCGCTGGTGCGTAATTGTAACAGGGGCGTGCTCCGTTACCGTTGCGTTGCGCTTCGTTACGTGCGCGCAGACCGCTATTAACCCAACGAAGGGCCGCCTCGTGACCCGGACTGTGAGACTGATGCGCTTCACGACCCCGGCCGAAGCGGCGGCCGCGGCGCGACGCTGACCGACGCCGCCTGCGCCGTGCCGACAGGCCGGTGGGGCGTGGTCTCGCAGGGCGACTGCTTCGTGCTGGCCTCCGACTACCTCAACTGCCTGGTGCACATCGTCGAGCTCGGCAACGGGCTCGTGACGTTCCAGGTGCGCGGACTCGAGTTCCGCGGCACCTACTGCCAGCAGCGCGAGGTCGAGGCCATCACCGAGGGCGTCGAGGAGGACGCCGGTACGTTCGGCGGCGGCGGCGGCGCTGGAGGGCGCGGAACAGTGCATGTTCAGGCGCTGAATGGGTCGGGTGCACCCTGCGTGGACTGTCTTAGTCATATGGGCAAGCCAGTCTGTGATGGAAGCCTGTCGGCTTCGGTGGATTCCAAGTTCGGGATGTTCTTCGCCCAAGTGACTAGTTGTACGAAGCGAAAGAAGCGCTTGCATATTTTATAGATAGCGCGATGTCGGTCGATGAGTGTGAACAAACCACTTTCGATAGTTTGGCTGGTTGGACCGTTTTGTCTTTCGCTTCATTGACGAATGGGCTGCCCGTCAAGTATTTGTTGGTCCGTGCGCTCATGTACCACGCAGATCAACAGTCCTCACGCTGCTAGAATCGGTTTGTGAAGCTGGCCGCATGCGTCATTGCCTCGTGATTGTCCCCCCCCCCCCCCCCTCCTCCAACTTCAGCTGCTCCCCGTCACGTGTCTAGCTCTGAACTGTGGGTCACAAGCCTCAGGGCGTGCGTCGATGCGACAGGCTGCTGCTGCTGCGAGCCGGGCCATCTGCCGCACCTGCTGTCCGCCAACCAGATCTTCAACCAGCGCTGGCTGGCTTGGGAGGTGGCCGCCGCCCGGTATGTGCTCGAGGGCTACAGCATCTCGGACAACTCGGCCACCTCCATGCTGCAGGTGTTCGACCTCAGGAAGGTGCTCATCACCTACTACGTCAAGGTCAGTGGGTGATCGATTGGTAGGTTCTGCAATGACTGCCACGGCACCCGGTGCCCTTTCGCTGGCGTGTGTGGTGCATAAACCAAATGTGTTAGTTTGATTGGGTTGGGGCTTTCAGTTTGACTAGGATGAACGTGGAACAAGTGAAGTAAATGAGGCATGAGCCACATGAGCCGAGGGCTGACCTTCGGGCTGTCTGCAGTCAGACAGCGCCTCAAACGCATGCCTGTGTCGGGAGCCGGTGGGCCGCGTCGGCATTGGCAGCGGCTCCTCAGCGTCAGTTGGTCGGGGCTCGCCCCGCGTCACGCCGCGCCCCTCCTGTGCAGAGCATTATCTTCTACGCGCTGCGCTCGCCCAAGCTGGAGACTTGGCTGGGCCGGGAGGAGATCATGTCGCACGTGCTCGACTATACCACCAACGCCAACTTCGTCGACGTCGACCCCATATTCAACATGAACATCGATGAGGACTACGACTTCCGGTCCTCGGGCATCACGCGCAACAGCTTCTGCAACGTATACTTCGACTGGATCAAGTACTGCGTCCAGCAGTGCGATAAGGTAAGGTCTCCTCGGATGCCATGCCCTCTGTTGTGGGACGTCACAGTGCAGTAAGGGCGCTTCTATCATCTGCCAATGTCCAGGGGCTACAGATACGGTGCTTATCCTGTGCTTGGCAGTTGCAGGAGGGTGGAATCCTACCCACAGGCCGTAGCTGGCCCCGATCTGCGACCTTTCGATAGTCAGATCATCTTGCGCGTCTGAAGTAATTAGCAGTGTCCCCCAGTACTCGCCAACCATCTCATCACAGATTAGGTCACGTGTCGCATCGTAAACCACACGGACTCTCTGAACGGTGATGAACTTGAAAGACTCCAGTAATCCTCCCATTCCGGTTGCCTGTTCGCATGATAGGGTCATTAAGTTTCTTTTTTTGGTGTCTTTGTCCGGTTTCACGCCGCCAACATACATCGTCGGCCAGTGCAGGCGAATTCGCTGCCGTGTAGCGGCGGCTGATAGGCTGACCGGCTGTGCGGGCTGACGGGCTGACCGGCTGTGTGGACTGACCGGCTGTGCGAACCGACCGGCTGTGCGAGCTGACGGACTGTGGGGCTGACCGGCTATGTGGACTGGCCGGCTGTGCGAGCCGACCGGCTGTACGAGCTGACGGACTGTGTGGGCTGACGGACTGTGTGGGCTGACCGGCTGACTGGCTGACCGGCTGTGCGAGCCGACCGGCTGTGCGGGTTGACCGACTGTGCGGGCTGACCGGCTGTGTGGGCTGACCGGCTGTGCGGGCTGACCGGCTGTGCGGGCTGACCGGCTGTGCGGCCGTGTCGTGTCGCCGGCCGTGTCACAGCGTCGACCGTCCGCCGCAGGAGATGGAGTGTAATCGAGACTCGCCGGTGGTGTCGCTGTGCCTGGCGCTTAGTCTGCTGGGCCGCCGCACCCTCAGCGATGCCTCGCACCACTCACACTCCAGGTGAGCACCACTGCCACTCCGGGTGGGCACCGCCCCCACTCCAGGTAAGCACCACTTCCGCTCCAGGTGAGCACCAATTTCACTCCAGCTGAACACCAATTCAACTCAGAGTGAGCACCACCCATGCTCTCGGCGGGCATTACCCCAGTTCCAGGTGAGCATCATTCCCGCTCCAAGCGAGCACCACTCACACTCCATGTAAGCGCTGTCCCTACTCAAGGTGAGCGCCACCCACACTCCAGGTAAGCGCTGCCCCTACTCAATGTGAGCACCACTCACACTCCAGGTAAGCACTGCCCCCACTCCAGGTGAGCACCACTTCCACTCCGGGTGGGCATCACCCCCACTCCAGGAAAGCACCACTTCCACTGCAGATGAGCACCTCCCACTCCACATTGGCATACCTTTGTAACACCGAGCGCAACGCTCACTCCAGTTGCCGTCGCCAGGCTTCGCCATTATCACCACACACGCCCTGCATGGACATTGTTCTCATTCTGGTGCACCGCGCCAGACTACTGGACTGGCGCGCCAGGTGAGCGTACCAGACATCATACGCTCTGCAGTTGACCGGCGTATGTCCTCGCTGTGGTGACGGACACCGTTAGTGGCCACCATTGACCGTAGTCCTGCCATCAAAAGTCAAAAACGCGTAACTACCAATTCTATAATTGTTCAGGACAGCGTTTTTGTATTCAAAAAACGTTTTTTTGTGTTCAAAGAGTGGTCGAGATAAAAAGGCGTATCTTGGCGCAAACGCGTACCTGATAAGCACACGCGTTTTCATGAATTGTAGTAAGGGACTCAGCAACGTCTCGTATGTCGGCAAAACACGTATCTGCGCAGTGACGCGTGTTTTATGCAGTTACTAAGCACCGCATGGGTGATTGGACAGCTGCATGGAACCAGGGAAGGATGTCATATATCATTCATTATTAGTTCAGGGCCGGGAATGCATCTGCAAAAATTAAACATCTGTTGGGCGGAGTGTCATGGTGTCAGGCGTACCCGCTGTGCATGACGAGATGACGGTAGTGTATTGGTACTAAATATCTCTAGTAGCCTTGCATGGTGTAAACACAGCAAAACTGCTATCGTTCCATTGTATGAAAGACTGCAACGCATGCATATGACCGCAGCACTTCCGCTGTGAAGATGCGCGTATTTGCATGGATTTGGAAACAGCTTGAAGGAACAAAAACATTTTTCAATGGCGAAAATGCGCAACTGCTCACTTTACGACGGTTCCCAATGACGAAAATGCGTAACTTCACAGGTACGCGCGTTTGGCACGGTAATGGCGCTGATCGTAGGTGACAAAACCGCGTATGTAAGCGGATACGCGTTTTTGACCCTGAAAATGGACCGCGTGGGAACAGCTGAGGCTCTTGCTCCGCAGATACGTGTCTGTAACTCCTTTTTATCTTTGCAAAGCCCCCCTCCCCTCCCCAGGTACAACTTATACGCGAATCTTCCAACCTTACATCCCTTTTGATTCTTTTTAAAAGCATTCATGTTTACTTTTCACTTCGTCAAAATGTGCAGCTCGTCGAGATGAATCTAATTATACCAATAACTCCATGTCGAGAAAAATGTTAGTTACGTGTTTCTGGCTTTTCTGACGGACGGCAGGGCCCTCCATCAGCCAGCGTTGCGCTGGAGCCTGCTCCGGCGGAGGCGGTTCTGACTCTGATTCGCGAGATATGGAGTCGATTATGACTCCGATTCCGAGCATCACAGCACAATGTTGAGGCGACCCCTATCAAGCATAAATGGCTCTATTATGGAGTCCAGTCTGGTGGGACGATTACTCAAACAGCTTATTCTGCTTGTATAAAGCGTTCCATGGTCTTGAAAAGGCCTACTCAACAAATTAACGTTGATAAGAATGTAAGTTTTCTACGATGGCGTTTCAGTAATAGCTGGCGTTCAAAATTACGAACAATCGGTATAGTTTGTCGCATACATATGTTACAGGAGGCTCACTGATTCTTGGGCTGACTGAACTCGGACTCCAACTCACAGCGAATGTTCAGAGCAGTGTATTTCACTCCAGCTCAGCGATAGTCTGCCCGACTCCGGAGTCGGCCCCGAGCCCACCTGTCGACCAGAGCAGGCCGCCCCCTGGTGCCGGCTCTGTTAGTCAGGTCAGCCCGCCTCGGGCGTCATCCGCGCGCGGGCGGCCTCCTGCTCACGCCGGGCCTCCCGTGTTCCAGTGTGGAGTTCTTCCTGTACGGCCTGCACGCGCTGTTCAAGGGCGACTTCCGTATCACCTCTCTGCGAGACGAGTGGGTCTTCACCGACATGGACCTGCTGCGAAAGGTGGTCGCCCCAGGCATCCGGATGTCACTCAAGCTGCACCAGGTCAGCGGCTGACCGGGTCATGACCCGAACTGTTGCGGGTCGGAGGAAGGCCCGGGGCGCGGGGTCGGACATACACTGGGTTGTGGGAGATAAGCCGACCGTGCTTACCCGAGGCCGCAGATCGCACAAGTCTACACCATCGCACCAGGACTTGGCAAACGGAAGACCCGGCAAACAGAGAACTGTGCTGGCTTACCCCGCTTCACATGCTCGCTGCTCTGCAAATGCCTCTTCCGTTTTTTTATCAATTTTTGCGCGATTGGTTGGCCCCATCGTCACGCCTCGGTCACTTGAGCGACCTCGTCGATATGTGGCCGGGTGCCGCACGCCTCTCCAGGCAGCTCAGATTAGTTTTCGGCGGGCCCGTACGGCTGTCGTGTGCCGCCCCTGTCAGCGTCCCCTCGTGTGGTGCCCCTGTCAGCGTCCCCTTGTGTGCCGCCCCGTCAGCGTCCCCTCGTGTGTCACTCCTGTCAGCGGCCCCCCGTGTGCCGCTCCGTCAGCGTCCCCTCGTGTGTCACTCCTGTCAGCGTCCCCTCGTGTGCCGCCCCGTCAGCGTCCCCTCGTGTGGTGCCCCTGTCAGCGTCCCCTCGTGTGCCGCCCCGTCAGCGTCCCCTCGTGTGTCACTCCTGTCAGTGTCCCTCCGTGTGCCGCCCCGCCAGCGTCCCCTTGTGTGGTGCCCCTGTCAGCGTCCCCTCGTGTGCCGCCCCGTCAGCGTCCCCTCGTGTGTCACTCCTGTCAGTGTCCCTCCGTGTGCCGCCCCGTCAGCGTCCTCTCGTGTGTCACTCCTGTCAGCGTCCCCTCGTGTGCCGCCCCGTCAGCGTCCCTTCGTGTGTCACTCCTGCCAGCGTCCCCCCGTGTGCCGCCCCGTTAGCGTCCCCCGTATGCCGCCCCTGTCAGCGTCCCCTCGTGTGCCGCCCCTGGCGGCGTCCCCTCGTGCGCGGCCCCTGTCGGCGTCCCCTCGTGTGCGGCCCCTGTCAGCGTCCCCTCGTGCGCCGCCGTCAGCGTCCCCTCGTGTGCCGCCACGGTCAGCGTCCCCTCGTGTGCCGCCCCTGTCGGCGTCCCCTCTTGTGCCGCCCCTGTCAGCGTCTTCTGGTGGCTGCACCCCGCTGGCCTCACGTCAGCGCCAGGCGGCGCGCGGGTGGGACCTCACCAGCACTGCCGCCGTCCGCAGGACCACTTTATGTCGCCGGACGACTACGAGAAGCCCAGCTGTCTGTACGAGGCCATCCGGTCACACGATGAGAAACTGGTGATATCGCACGAGGGCGACCCAGCCTGGCGCAACGCGGTGCTCTCTGGCGTGCCGTCCCTGCTGGCGCTCAGGTGGGTCGAGCCCTCTGGCGGGCGGGCGTCGGCCGTGTGTCGCGAGCCGCGCCAGTGTGTCCCCCACGGCGGCTGGCTGGGAGGCGTAAGGGTTTGTAGGTGAAGGGTGCGAAAGGACACGACAAGGTGTGGTTCAACGTTGGAGTGGCCATATGATGAGTGAGGGCTGGTGACATCGAGATGCGCCTCCGTTTGTGGCCCGATTCAGCTGGTAAAAGGCAATACAAGGCAGGGATGATCAAATTATGCTAACGGCAATACAACGCAGAGATGATTAAATTGAAGGACAAGATTATGGTTTGAACACTCGTGTCATCACGGTGTGGTCCCCGTTCCGTAGCTAACGGGCCTGACCCAAACTCATTTGACTTCCCTGCGTGGTTTGACCTCCCCGCCTGGTCTGGCCCCTCCACGTGGTCTGAGCTCCCCACGTGGTCTGAGCTCCCCACGTGGTCTGACCTCCCTGCGTGGTCCGACCTCCTTCCCTAACAGGCACATCCTAGACGACGGATCGGACCAATACAAGATCATCATGCTGAACAAGCGGCAGCTCAGCTTCCGCGTCATCAAGCTGAACCGCGAGTGTGTGCGCGGTCTGTGGGCCGGCCAGCAGCAGGAGCTCATCTACCTCAGGAATCGCAACCCCGAGCGGGGCAGCATCCAGAACGCCAAGCAGGTGAGGCTGCTGGAGAGCGCCGCCGGCAGCCGCGGCGGCCCGGTGCGGCGGGCCTCATAGGTCGTGTCGACATATGGCAAAGCGGGGAGAGGAGGGCCGAGATCTGAACGAGCTGGGACGGGCGCGGGGCGCTCGCGAAGCTGTGTGGTAGCCACATCGCTCGGTCTTACCTCCTGCTGCATCTTAAGCGTGTGCACGATGCCACGTGACTTCACCGGCGTAGGGGCCGCACTCCGTTGGCGAGTTCAAGCTTAAGCACCGATTGCATCATTCACGGCGCGGTTATTGTGACACTGAGTCGCCGATTAATGCGTCGGCAGTTCAGGCGTCGTTTGTGGAGGCGTGTCGGCCTCTCCACCGCGGCGAGCCGTAGCTAGCAGCGCGAATGACCACACCAGCGTCATGCATCGCAGATAAGAGGAAAGCGAAAGGGCCACCACATCCTGGCCGCTGCACTGGGTGTGTCTCCACCTCCACAGGCTCTGCGCAACATCATCAACTCGTCGTGCGATCAGCCGATCGGTTACCCGATCTACGTGTCGCCGCTGATGACGTCATACGTGGAGACAAGCGAGCCGATGAGCCGCATCCTGGGCGACCCGATCAGCTTCGGCTGGGTCAAGCGGCACCTGCTGGACGCCTGGCAGCGGCTCTGCGCCCGCTGCGGCCAGGGCTGCGTGTCCGGCGGCAGCGTGCTGCAGGAGGACGGCGTGCGCTACATAGCGCACCCCTGCACGGTCCAGCTGGGTGAGTGGCGCACCCCTGCACGGTCCAGCTGGGTGAGTGGTGCACCCCTGCACGGTCCAGCTGGGTGAGTGGCGCACCCCTGCACGGTCCAGGTGGGTGAGTGGCGCACCCGCGCACCTTTCGGAGTGTTGAGAGCGCTCTGGCGGGCCCTGGTGACCGCGCATTGTGACGTTTGGTGGCGCCATCGTCAACCGAGTCCGTTGGCTTGTCCTTTGAGCTGTGTGGGTGCGTAGTTCGGTTTGACGTATTGGAGCGCTTGCCGGCGGGGAACATCTCAATGTCCACAGTCCCTGGTTTATGGCCGTGTAGTCGTCCATTTTCCGGCCCGAAAGGTCTTTTGCGACAATTGCTTAAGCAAGGGCATGTTTTCTTTTCTTCCGCCGCTTGTTTGCCGCTCTTGAAAGATCCATCTCTGGCGTCTGCCTTTGACACCCTCCGTCATCTTCCCCTGACGGCACCGTCCCCGCACCAGACCGCTACTGTGCCGCCCCCTCTGACCGCCCCTCCCCGCACCAGACCGGTTGCTGTGTCGCCCCTCTGACCGCCTCTCCCCGCACCAGACCGCTACTGTGTCGCCCCTCTGACCGTCCCTCCCCGCCGCAGCGGCGTTTCCGGTAACCAGCGGCAGCCAGGAGGGGGTCAGCTTCGGCCCGCGGTCGGCCGGCACCTTTCCGCAGCAGCTGGTGGCGCCACCCAGCGTCAAGCCCACCTCGGCCACGCTGCCGGCCCGCTCTGGGCCGTACGTGGTGCCGTGTGTGAGGCCGGCACGGGGCCTGCCGCCGCGCCGGCCGGCCGTCGCCACCGCCGACCTTTCGCCCGTGCTGATGCTCTACCCGACGGCGACGGCCGGCGCGAGCCCGGCGCGCGCGCGCGTGCGCCAGGTGCGCGCCGGCAGCCCGGCGCCGCGCACGCCCCGCCTGCCCATCGGCACCAGGGTCAAGGTCAGTAGCGAGGGTCGAGTGCTCGAAGGACGTGGCTCGTGTGGTCGGTCGTCCAGAGTAGGTGGAGGCAGAGAGCTGGCTGCCCAGATGTGTGGCTGGACTCAAGGCGCTCTGCTTCCAAGTGCACAGTTCGTTGCGCCGTGTATGACTGCTGTTACTTTGTGCCATAGTTGTATAGCTAGGGTCGCATACAGTATCTGAAATTTGGTTTGGGCTCTTGGGGGAGAGAACAAAAATCCTCAAATTCTGGGTTGTAGTGAGAACAAAATAATCCAGGCAAATTTGCACTGCTTGCATTGAATGATATTTTTTGACAGCAGATGACAGTAAACATGATCCTTTAGCTGGTCTCAGTAATCACCAAAGACCTTTAGAGATTGGCTGCTTGCATCTTAAATTTTCTAGCTTCTCAAGTATGTGCTTTCTTTCTAAGTCTATGCTCACACCTACTGTATTTTTTGATGATATGGACCTGATAGAAAGTTGTTTATATTGATAATTATGTTGTAAAGGTGTGAGTCCCAATTAAGGCTGACAGAAAGCAATGCTTAGAATGTTGTGCACCTAATGAACAATTTCCTAGAGCACATTATGACAAATTCATTATTAAAATGTCATGCAGCTCATGATAACATGAATAGGAGCATCTGTAGCATAGTAGTTTGTGTACCTATGTTTAGCCAAGGCGCAATCTTTCCCACTAAAGGGAGAGATTCTGGGGCAATGTGGTACCTGCCTAGGCTTTTACTGACCTAGATACACTTTAATTTGTGACGAGGGGTGCAGTTTCCTACGCAGTGGGATGGGATGCTACTAGCCCCTCCCCAACTTTGGGAAGAAACTTGGTCAAAATCGTGGAGATCATGGTTTGCACCATTTATTTGGGATTAAAGAATTATCGACTCACCCGCTTCTCAAGTTATGTACAAAACTACACCATCTGAGACGTCAGGCTGCTGCGTGATCCGGCTCGGACGGCAGTGCAGTAGGGGCGGGGTAGTTATTCCCTTCTCATAGAGCAAGTCAGCCGTACAAAGGTAGCGTCGCCACATCTACTCACCGACGTTGAGTCTGATACAATACTTTTCTCAGTGTATGACGCGGAGCTGAATTTATATATTGCCTTTACCTAAACCATCAAATAATCGCGTTGTCACCCCGCACGCGGCTGCAAAAAATAAAACGTCGGAAGGCTGCACGGGGCGCGCACTGCATAACAGTCTTCAACGGCAGAGCCGCTGTAAGTTTTTTATCGGTTCTGATCTTGCTTTTTTAGGACCTTAATGATTTTCGAAAGCTCTTCGTTGGCAAGATCCCGGTCAAATAAGAGGCACATCTTAACAAACGTAAAAAATATAAATTCAAAACCAAAAGTTCTGCTGAACGGAGAACAGGAAACCCTGCTTTAGCTTTATATTCAGACCACAGTTCTGTGGTGACGCTCTGTAGATCGGTAGAAAAAAAATCGCATGCTTTTATTTAATGCCCTTTTTATGCGTTTTCATAGATAGAACAGCAGTATTAGCCTTATTCCTTGGAGAAAAAGCAGGAGAATAGAGATATAGTTGGGTTGATATGTCTGCAACATCACTTCATCGAAACAATAGGCGAAGTGAAATTCTTAAGTTCAAGGCGTCACTTCTATTGTTTCGATAAAGGCACGTTGCCGAAATATCAACCCAACTGTATCTCTCTTCTCCTGGTTTTTCTCCGAGAAATAAGGCTAATGTTACTATCTTATCTGTGTGAATAACGTTTCTCCCTAATGTACTGAACAACTTACTTTTATGCGTTTTCGTCAAGAATTCAGCTCGGATTTCTTGGTCGAGAATTTGCCTTCTCTCCAATGCCAAATCCTCCCCAAGAGTCGAAGACTCGCGGAGCCGTGAATTTCCTCGTGCCCAAGCGAGTGTTGGGGATGGTGTCTGATGTCATCATTATGTTTTCTATGCAGTGTCCGTTTTTTATAGCTTCAGATGCAAGTTTTATCAGAATGCTATTTTTAATGGATTAAAATAATTTTTTAATCAATATAAAATAAGTTCACGCTATTCTTGGGGGTACATGTTAGTGTAACATCATGTCCTTCCGCATCAATTTGTATTGTATTACAATGACTTCTACGAGCAATCGAGAAGCGTTGAATCGGGGCGTATACGAGATGTTCTCCGCCCTCTCGCTGCTCCCCGGCCCGACAAGAGGCTTTGTTACTGTATTGAGCGCGGGCTCGGCCCTGCGTCTGAGCGCATCGGTGTCATTGGTGGACGGTAGGGGGTTAAACATGTGCTGGTGAGCAGCAACGGATCTTGGCACTGAGTGCATTGGAAGGAAAGATTGTGTGCGATGGGGTATAAATATTCGGCTGAAACCCGCAAGTACTATTCTTCGTTCAGTCGTGTGAGTGGCACGCGATGCTGTCGAAGCTCCAGGAACAGCTTGACTTCATTTCACGTTCCTCACAGAGAACAATTTTTATGTTCTTTCGGGTGTATATTTGTGGAGAACAAAATGCCTTGGGGCTAAAGCCACCAAGGAACACCCAAGTTTCAGACACCGGTCGCGCATCGATGTGGGGCGGGGATGCTCTGCGTCAGAGAGATAGTAGGTTGGTTTTCTGTGGATGTTTTCCCATCTGTAAATGTTTGCGCGTGATACCTCACCGTGCCACCGTGTGCGCCAGTGCATGCGTATTCGTGCGCGCCGATCACACTGTCGTGTGAACAGCCCGCCGCACCCGCTGACCCCTCCCCCCCCCCCCCCCGCCCGCCGACAGCTCGTCAACGGCGACATGGTGTACGACAGCATTAACCAGGGCCGGCGGGTAGACGTGCTGTGGCCCGACGATAGGTGGCGCCAGCACGGCGGCAAGAACCACTGGGGCTCCTGGCTGCCGGACGGCCGGCAGGGCACGGTGGTGCACTTCTGGTGTCCGTCGCACCCCGACAGGCGCTACCGGTGAGGGCAGGGGCATGGACGCCGCGGCGGGGTGCCGCCGACCGGGTCTGACCGGAGGCCCCACCCGCGCCCCGCCCGGTGACACCGAGGTGGCTTACTCGACGCTGAGACGTGGCTCAGCCCGTGGAGCTGTTGTGGGGGCGTGCTCTTGGGGTGAGAGATAGAGAGCGGGATGAAGGGAGAGACCGTGGTGAGGTTTACGTGAAGCTGAGAACAGTCTTCTGTTTTCACAACCGTCCACAGACCATCATGCACCTGTCCATCCGCTGCGTGCTCTGTCCACGCCCCCCCCCCCCCCCCCCCGTCAGCTGCATGTTTGGCATACTGGCTCTGCTATTGGGTGTCGGTTGGGCATTTGCCGCGCTGGTGTCCACTACATGACGTCACTGGGAGCTAGTCCCAGTTACAAGGCAGTGTCGTGCAAGCTAGTTCGCCGAGTGTTGTGTAAACGAGATGCTCCACGGGAAATGGCAGTAATAGTTTGAATGAAGTGAACCGTGGCTAGTAGTAGTTTCAGGCTGTGAAGTCTGGCATATGACTGGGTGCATTTTAACTCTCGCGGCGTAAACCAGGTGCGGAATAACTGTGTATCGCTAAAATAATTTCCTTGACATATAGCTGACACGATCTCAGCCGTCACTGCGAATACTGTGCGTTCAAACGCTGCGTCGGTCTTCTTCCTTATGGACGTCAGACGTAACAGCTGGCCGGTACGACTGGACGGGACTCGACTGGAATCACTGGCCAGCTGGAGTCTGTGGTGATGCATTCGGTAGCTCTTGATCATTGTTATCAATATATAATACGCAGCGTTATCATCTGCGTTACCTGAACCTAGATTGCAGCGTTACCATTTGCGCTTCTAACTCTATCTGTGCAGCGCCACACTGGCGACCTGCCCACCTGAACGACAGCCGTCGCCCTCCCGCCCCCGCCGCGCCGCCAGGTCGCACGTGGACCGCACGACTCCGCGGCCCATCCACCTGACGTGCCGCCTACACCTCACCTGCCCCGCCGCGCCCCCAGGTCGCACGTGGACCGCACGACTCCGCGGCCCACCCACCCGACGTGCCGCCCTCATCTCACCTGCCCCGCCGCGCCCCCAGGTCGCACGTGGACCGCACGACTCCGCGGCCCACCCACCTGACGTGCCGCCCTCATCTCACCTGCCCCGCCGCGCCCCCAGGTCGCACGTGGACCGCACGATCCTGCTGCTGGAGATGAACGGTGGCAACTACGTGCCGGTGGCCGAGGCCGGCTGCCAGCCGGTCGACGACGCGCTCACGGAGCCCGAGCGGGTGGTCGATGTGTGATAGGCCGTGGCGGCCGCCGCCGACCCCGACACTGTGATACTGACTGAGGCTGAGGGCGGCTGCGCGCGTCAGCGCCGCGGCCGCCTCCGTGCCGGCGCCTGGCGAGAGGCCGGCCGCGGCCGAGGCTCGGCCGCGTGTGCTGGTCCTGCTTCGTGGCCGCGTGCTGGTTGTATTCGTGCGTTGCAGTTTTTTTACGCCGGTGTGTGTGTGTCCGCGTTTTCGAGGTGACCGTCGCAGTGCTGGGAAGGTGCGGCAATTCCAATCATCACGTTGTAATGCGACCCGTGCCTGTGTTGATGATCCCATTGGTGCTCATTGGAAGGTAGTGGACCCGGCCGGCTGGAAATAAAGTCCATTGGCAGGCCTAAGGCATGTTCTCTTTCCTTACGAGACGAGGGGTATGGATATTCGTATTGCGTTTCGGGACCTACCCTGTGGTGTTCCGGCATTACCAGCTGACTCCAGCCGCCCTGCGTTCGATGTGCGCTGTCGGATGCTTCCGAACAACGTACACGATCATAAGCGCGCGCACTAGCGGAATGAGGCCCGCCCGTCTGATAATGGACAGGCTTTGCATTACGGCAGATAGCTGAGCAGGCTGCTTGTACTCCACTGCCACCTATCGGCGGCGAAAGCTATCAGAGCGGTCAGAACGTTGGAATGGCTGGGTAACTTTTGAATTATGCACAGCCTCGGGATAAACCCTCGGAACAATCACTGGTCTCATTTCAGGAGGATGGTTTGGGGAATATATCGCTTTAAAGGCATCGATGGCATTATGTTGAGGCGGGACAGCGGTTAGCAGGCCTGTGAATGGTTAGCAAACTGTTAATGGTCAGCGGCCTGGTGGTTATGTGGTGGTTACCATTTGAAGGCGAACGTGGCACGGAAAAGGGCGGGTGCCTATGGCTGGAAATTCAACCAACACTGCACCACAGCCCTTCCACCGGTGCTTGATTTCAACTTATTGGTTCGTCCTCGTTGATTTGCATGCACACCTCATTTCTTTGCCCTGTTAGTCAGCATGTTTCTGAATCGCGTGGAGCCGAGCGTAGATTTGGCGCCGCATGGCGTCCGCCCTGCGATGATCATATTCGTTCATTAAGGAGCTATGCGATGAGCCAGGTGGTGAGGATGATTCTCTGGAGAAAGCCATACCGTCACTGAAAGAACGCAACAATCTGCCCTACCCATGGTTGGCAGGAAAGAATTGGTGATATCAGTACATCATTGACTTTGTTGCTGCTTTTTGTGGGCTGCTGATCCTTTGTCGAACTTTCCACATCAGACGTGACCCCTTGTAATCAGAGACCTGGTGACTTCCAGCCACAAAATTCAACTGGCAGGAGCCCATTCAGAACACATCAATGACTAATGCTTCCGACGGGATTTGAGGGGCGTGTCCGAAAGCTGTACCTTTAGGAGCTGCCATGCCTGGTGCAACGCAACCTTGAGAGCGCGCTTCGCGGACGGCTGCCGCAGTTATAGAACGTCTCTCGAGCCAGCTCTCCTGCCCCCCCCCCCCCCCCCCCCGTTTTCTGGCGGAGCCGCGTCCAGCCCGTCTGACAACGCCACATGTCACGGCAGAGTCCGACCACCCGGCCTGCCCGCAGTTCCAGCAGCAGACAGAACAGACAGCACGCAGCTTCTCGTATTGATCCCCATCCCCTGTACACAGGTACACCTACAAGCAACAGTCACACGGGGCGGCGAGCGCACCAGCCTAGGCCTGCTTGCTGCTGATCGGGTCGACAGTCGGCTCCGGGAAGTTGAACTGCGGGAACTTGGCCACGTCCTCGCCCTCCTTGAAGCCGTACGAGCGGGCTATCCGCTCCAGCTCGTTCTTCATCTCAGCCTGCAGCTGCGGCGTCGGGTCCACCAGGCCATCCTTGGCTGTCCTGAGAGCGACGGGGTAGCAACGGTCAGGCGGCCACGCCGGCCGGCGCAGTGCGCGCAGCCGGTACGGCGGATACAGCGGTACGACACGCGTCTTCGCGCGCGTGCTTAAGTTTACCGCCTGCCCCGGAAAATCGGGCGCTGGGACCTCCCAGCCACATCGAACAACCCAAGTTGCACAAAGGGGCATGAACTCACTTGCTCTTGGAGCCATATGCGCGGAGTTTTTCCAAGAAGAGCTTCTGGATGGGGTCGTTCGCCTGGGTTTGGCCGAGCGCAGCGGATGTGTTGATGTGCCGCGCCAGCCGAAGGGAGGCGGCCGCCTGACGCAAGGGTCGTGCCAGCTGGCTCATCCTGCCAGCACAGACAGACCCTGCATCACGGTGGCACGGCCATGGCCCGGTGAGTGCTTCACTGCTTCAGACTGAGAGACTGTCACGGCACGCACAAGACCATGAAGCAGAGGAATGAACCACATTTTAACAATGTATTTGTCTGTCAGCATCACCCACTGAACAGTGGACAGCTGAGGCTTGGCAGTTGGCAAAGTAATAGAAATCCTGGGATTCTTCTCGATATCTCTCTAAAATATAAACCCAGATGCTTATCACGAATTGACACAGGGAACAATTCTGGCTAGATATATGCTACCTATACATGACTTCCACTGGCAGCCTGGTGAAACCCTGTGAAAAGTGGCTGACCCAGGCCAACACAGATGCCAACTAGATAATCATTTTGAGCAAAAGAATCCAAAAGGGAAAATGGTGAGTTAATGACTCCTGTGTGTATATACAAAAACAACAGGGAAAGGCCAATCACAATGCATACCACAGCGCAAGCATGTATGACTATCAAAATGAAGCACCCTGACCTAATGCTCTACTGTCATTTTCAACGCTGTGTGGAAAAAATCATAATTTATATGTTACAAATTTGCCTTACATACTTCAAAAGTCTCAGGGCCTTTCCTAAAGTAAAAGAGAGAATATTGTTATTTTACCATGCACCCAGATGGCCATAAGATTCCGATTTCTGAACATACCTGCTTGTTTTAAACTGTGGTGGTTAAATTAGGTTTATTTTATGTAAAATATGCTGAATGTAGTGGCCCCACAGACAAAGAGGGTATCAGTGTTGGAAAACTTGACGTTTCCTGGTGTAATGTATACCAGGAGATTTTGTACTCCAGGATTGTGACTAGGTAAAAAGAAGTACTTTGTACTCCATCATGATGGAACAAAAACAGCTTTTGTAAAAGCTTGTTTTACCTCTTGTGTCAGGCCAAAATAAAACCAGAACATGCAACAGGTTCAGACTTGCTGCTTCCATCAGGAGCCATGTATTGATATCTGCAAGAGCAAAAATCTTGCACCCACCAGACTAAGACGCCCAATAGCAAGCAGCCTGTGTTGCCACCTAGGTACATGACAAACCATGTATGGAAATGTAAAAAAGTGTGTGAACATTGAATGGAATCGCCTTTGAACGAAACCGGGAAATGAGAAAGTACCAGAATCGCACCGGTCTGTAGATTAGCAAAGCTGTCACTTCCTATGTTCGCGGACCAACTCAAACTTGAGCATGACTTAACCGGCCATTGATGACGAACCACATTAAGTCGCGGCTGCTGTGCGTATGCGGTGCTCGGGAGCTCGCCATCGTAATTATAAAAAATTTGAAGGTAAGAGCATGAATCTACCTGTTTTGCGATTATTTACGATATGTCCTGTCTTAAACACCACGAATGGTGTACAATTATTTCTTCTAGCGCTAGGTAGGAAAGTACACCCTGACCCAGAGCCTTTCATAAATTGAAAACTCATGTATATGCACATGTGTTTCATAGCACAGAGTATGAGACTGTGTTGTTTCAGTGTGCCATGTTTAATATTGGTGTTTCCTTTCATTTAAAGCACTTTTACATGAGCTGCTGTATATGAAAAGTGGTGCTTTCGCTGAGTACCACCCATTGTAGTGTTATCTCTCAAAGATAACCTAAACAAAACTGTAATGACCCACAGCATTTCGATAATTTTGTACTCCACCAGAGAAAATTTGTACTCGGCTACCAGGACATTTTTTGGAATTTCCAACACTGGAGGGTATCACTACCAGTAGATTTTGAGGGATCAGATGATTGTCCCAACACACTTATTATCATAACATGGCATGGAAAGAAATGCCTAGAGCTAATGGATCAAAGATGTGACTTTAAATTGTATGAATTAGGGAGATTCACCAAATATGCACCTAATGCATGGTGCACCCTGGCAGAAAATGTAAGGTTGCATTATACTAAGCCCATGTGACTTATGTTTGGTCATCACCATCTCCCTGTAACATATTTATGAACTGAGTGTCACAGTAAATCTAAAATCTTCCCCTTCACATGAGGGATGGAACACTTTTATGATGTAATACATTTGTCTCTGGAATGATACCCACCATGAAAATGAAAACCATAGGCAAAAGCAAATATAACAGATGAATCCGAGGTTGTGATCAAATTCTTAAGCAGTGTCTAAAACTTGGGTGTTTCTTGGTGTTTTTAGCCCAAGACATGTTGTTCTCCACAAATATACACTGCAAAGAATGTAAAAATTGTTCTCTGATCGACATCGGATGAAAGCAAGCTGTTCCTGAAGCTTCAACAGCATTGCATGCTGCACTCACAACTAAACAAGAGATACTGCTTGTGGGTTACAGCTGAATCTCTCCCATATCACACACAGTCTTTCCTTGCAATGCACTCAGTGCCCAGGTCTGCTGCAACTCACCAGCACATGCTCAACCCATCTACCGTCAAACAACAATGATGCCCTCAAGCATCCAGCTTTAGCCCACACTCAAAACAACAGTGTCTCTTGACCGGCCAGGGACAAGCCCAGAGAACATCTTGTATATGTCACTATTCAACATGTCTGGATTGCATGTAGAAATCATTGTAACACAATAAAATTGATATGAAAGTATATGATATCACACTAAAATGTACCTCTAAATATGAGATGAATTAATCATATGTTGATTAAAAGTTTGTTTAAATTCATTTCAAATAATAAACTTATTAAAATTGCATTTGAACCTGTCAGAAATAGATATTATATAGAAGGTATAATAGTGACATCAAACACCATCCAAAACACTCGCTTGAGCACATGGGAAACCACGGCTCCATGAGTCTCTGCTCCTGAGGAAGATTTGGCATTGGCGAAGATATGTTCTCCACCTAGAAATCCAAGCTGAACACATGATGAAAATGCATAAAAGCATCATTAAACAAAAGCATGGAATATTTTCTATTGATCTGCTGAGTGGTGCCACAAAATCATGATCTGAGTACAAAGCTGAACCAGGGTTTCTTGTTCTTCTTTGATAACTTCTAGTCTTATGTTTATATAATTATTTACCCTTTTGAGATCCACTTTTTATTCAAGCCAGGTCTCACAAATACTTTTTGCAAAATCATTAACATCCTAAAACGCAATATAAAAACCGCTAAATAGCTTACACTGGCATAGTCACTGAAGACAGCTATTGTGTGTGCTCCATTTCTGTAGCCTACCAACCTTTTTTGGAGGAGCCACACATGGAGTGGTGAAAGCGTGACTTGTTGGTAGTGTACAAAAAGGCAATATATAAATTCAGCTCAGAGTTGTACAATAATAAAAGCATTGTATCAGACTCAATGCTTGTGAGTGGATGTAACAATGCTAACTTTGTGAGGCTGCAAGTGAGAAACTTAACATTTCCTTGGATTTTCGTTCCTCCAAATTAATCTTTACTGTGATCAAATATGCAATGTCTATGCACCAGTTTCACATTCAACATGCTACATGATGTGCTCTGGGCTGGATTTATTCTTGCTACAGGCCTGTTTTAATCCCAATTTTCATCTTTACCTATTCAACATAGCTCAGATTAACTTGCTTGACGACTTTCTTGTAAGTGTTATGTGGTAAAACATCTGCTAGTTAACATCCACGTCAAAACACCGCCCTTACAAAACCCACATCAACATAAAAGCGCCGTCAGCAAGTTTTCAGCCACAAGCCCATTTTCCTCCAACTTAAAGCGAAGTGGCGAGACGGAACGCTCTAAAACCCAATAACATTCTTCACGTATATTACCTGGAATTTTACCTTCTCAAATTATGGCAGCAGCCGCCAGACACAACGCACCAAAGCAAAGACCGCCTGCGCGATGCCGCGGAAAAAGGTCAGACATAGATTTGACGCATTTGTTACATATGAGGACATCGAAAAAAGAAGAAAACCTCTGTTTATGTTCGAAAAGGTGGGTTATCGGCAAGCTGTACCAAAATTAGCCAATAATGTCCTCAAGCTGTCCAGATCCGATTTGAACTGGCTACGGGCCTTGTAACGAGAAAAATTGGAGGGCCAAAGGTACCGTCCTTATGTGATATCACACTTATATGGCATGATATATGCTGTACTCTTTTATACGGACTGTTTATAAGAACTTCCGGCTAGCGCTCTTCGGAAAAAATCACCGATAAACACGTCACCTCATCTCTCCATCGGGTGCAGGCTGGAACCACATTCCAGCAATGATTTTGTAGCTCTGGTGCAGACTAAGGCCATTTCCCCGATGAAAATGCTTCATTGAATGTGCTAGGTCGAAAAATCCGGTTTAGTGAAATATCTACATTTAAACCGGCCGGCAAAGAACAACATTTTTACGCCGCCGTAGCGTTCGTGCCGTACGGTTTAGTCTCATTACGGCGTTACAGCGTCGCCTAACCAGAGTGCAGTAATGCGGGGCTTGATAGGGAAGAGGGGAAGAGGAAGGGACTTTTGATTGAGCGTCACCGAAGCATGACAAGGAGAGGGCATGAAGCTAAATAGCATGACGATACGGTCAAATGTGGTTGTTTATTAGGCTTATGTGTTTTTAACTGTCTTAAAATCTTTAACACGTGCCCGGGTGGGGGTAGGGGATCAAATTGACCTCCCGAAGGTTTTTCCAGGATGGCTCCGAACGGCGCGGCGTAGCCGCGCCAAATTTTTCATGGCTGTAGACAATTGAAAAGCGGATCGTTGGTAACGCAAATTTAGGTGTACCTTGTAAGGTCGCTGACCTATGGCAGGTCAAATTCAGGCCACTGTTTCAGCGAAGTCAATTTCTAGTGAATCGTTCAATCTGATGCAACAACGGAGTGTTAGACGAAGCCATATATCTCGTAAATGCTTTATTGGACAACATAACAAGTGAATGCACAAATTGCATTGACCTAAGGTCAGGCATGAAGGTTAGGCCAAGGTCGAAGCCAACTTGTTTTATTTCTCTAGAGCTTGCTGTATGGGATGGTTCCTGGTGCTCATTTGGAATTTATTGATGGCAGGAACCGTATACTACATCTTCCATGGGCCTCTTAGAGGTAAAAATAGGTCATTGACCTAAAACGACCCAGGTCACCACTCGGTTTTTAGGAGCATACTGTCTCGGGTGTCTTGTATGATTTTGTCACCATGACCTTCAAAAGGTCGAACAAGCTCATTGACCTAACATGAGCAAATGACCTGCTTAGAAACAGTTATCTAGGTTATGGGGTCGCTTTGGAGACCAACCTGGAATCTGACCTTGTTTGACCTTATTTGACCCGAAGGTCATGACCTAGGAACCTCAAAATTCGACCTAAGTGAGTTCACGTACAGGTCAACATACCCTGTGAATTTGGTGTCCCTAGCTCTCACAGTTCTCAAGATCTCAGCGGGGTCAAATTGCCCCCCCCCCTCCACCCGAGCGAAGGGCATCCAGCTGGCCATCCGGGCGCGTGTTAAACCGGATACCACCGGCTTCATACTATGACAAGTAAGCGTCCGTATTTCCTTCGAACCTTAAGCTTAAAGGGAGTGTTCCACCTTTGTGTGGGGTTTTGAGCTGAAATAATCATCTTGAGGACCTTTTGATGAAGTTCACGGCCATGCCCTTTTTAAGACCCAAAACCCTCTGGTTCCTGAGTTACACGTCCGCAAAAGAGGGAAAATGTTTATTAGGAGACTACTTTAAAGTCGCCTTGGCATGGGTGTCGTGATAGAAACGTCATGCAATGGCCGTTATATTACAGGCTATTTTCTGCTCGTGGTCAAACCAGCACGGCCGCTGATACATTCGCAAAAGCGATGATGCGGCAAGTGTGATACAATCCGCTGGAGGTGATTGGCTGTTGGTAAGACTTCGCTGCTGAGTGTGTGTCGCAAACGTAAGCGTTAGCACTTTCGCGTTGTGCGGCACTCGTCAACGGGCATTTTTCCTTATTTCTAGGCCATAGGCCAATGTTGTAAAAAAAAAAGAACGCCACTGTCTGCAAAAAAGTACTGTACTGAAAAAAGAATGCCACTGTCCTGAATGTTATAAAAAAGAAGACGCGGCAGCAAAACTCTTTTTTTCTCCTGCTGGTACTTTCTTTCCCCTTCTACTGACGTATTTCTTACAGTGAGCTCGGTTGGCGCCTTGTGCATCGGAGCAAAGAACCTGGCGCGGGTACTAACTCAAAAGGGTTAGCAGCCCATCCAGCACTCCCAAATGGGACCCATGTGGGCTTAACGTGGAGCAACTGGCTTAATGGGGGCATGGGCTACAGGTGGGCTTTTAAGTGGGCTCCAGCTGGGTCCCACATGGGGCGCCCACATCATTTCGTATTTTTGCACGCACCAGAACTGTTCATGCCTTGTACTGTTCCGTCGGAATTTATCACATCAAGAAGGAATAACACACCAGGAGGGAATGCTTGCATTGGTGGGATCCGTGTGGGCCATACGTGGGCAAGCTGGGCTCATGTCAACATGGCTTGCCGGTGGGCTGGTATCTAGGCCTAATCTGGGCCCAGATGGACTGTCCATATGCTACATGCGCAATCAAGCTGCCACACACAATATTGATGTGTATACCAATTGTTTTTATTGCCTGGGTTTCGTCATATCATGTGCAATTATTCTAAAACATGAGACTGCTGCCTGGACTGGGGTCCGTATGGGCTGAGCACGGGCTAGCTGGGCTTATGTCCACGTAGGTCACGGGTGGGCTAGCATGAAGGCTCCATCTGGCGCCCAGATGGGTTGACCATACGCTACCATATTTGGTGTGGGTGCATTTGGCTTTTTACCTTGTCCTCCCGCGTTGGATTTTCCTCATGTACAAATGAGTACATGACAAAGGAGAACAGCACGGGTTGGGGCTCATATGGAATGTATGTGAGTAAGTTGGGCTCATGTCAACATGGGCCGCATGTGGGCTGGTCTTTGGGCTCCATCCTGGACTCAGATGGGCTGCCCATATGTCACGTATGCAATAAAGTTGTCATATACATAATTATGTGTACATGAATTGTATTTAAAGTTTTGTGGTTTTACCATATTGTGTGCAATTTGTTTTCATGTGCCACATCCATGCTCACGTCCATGTAGGTTGCGGATGGGTCGGTATTTCGGCCCCATCTGGCACCCAGGTGGGACTGCCCATACGTTACCATTGGCATTATAAAATTAGGGAATATTACCAAGGTACCACGCTGCCAAGGCATTATAAAATTGGGGAAATACTGCAGTAGTCATATATATATATATATAGAGAGAGAGAGAGAGAGAGAGAGAGAGAGAGAGAGAGAGAGAGAGAGAGAGAGAGAGAGAGAGAGAGAGAGAGAGAGAGAGAGAGAGAGAGAGAGAGAGAGAGAGAAGAGAGAGAGAGGAGAGAGAGAGAGAGAGAGAGAGAGAGAGAGAGAGAGAGAGAGAGAGAGAGAGAGAGAGAGAGAGAGAGAGGAGAGAGGAGAGAGAGAGAGAGAGAGAGAGAGGAGAGAGAGAGAGAGAGAGAGAGAGATATATATATAGATATATATATATATATATATATATATATATATAGTATATGTATATATATATATAACGTATTGCGCAACAAACTCAAATCTTCAAAAAGTGCTTTTACCCGTACAACCGCGCGAGTTCCATTACCATGAGCCCCGTTGGGACGTTGTTTTGAAGAGAGCTCACGGTGAAATGTAGTGTTATAACCAAAAACTTGTGCGGAAATTATGAGAAAACCTGGAATCGATAGTTCCGCGGGCTGTGCAAACCGTGGGATCAAACTTATTTGACATCTGAGTGTGAATCGGACGCTTGAAATGGATGTGATCACTGGTGGTGCGTGCCAGTGGCTTGTCCTGATCTTGATGTGATGGGGAGTGTGCGTGCGAGGCTTGTACTACTGAGAGAGAACATTGTTTTGACATTATTTAAGTCTAATGACTCCCAATAAAATGTGGCATATCGATATCTGCCTATATATTTATGTTTGCTTTGGAACATGGCAAGGCGGTGGTACCAGCAAATTGAAAGAGAGGCAAGCACTTATGCTGCAGGGGTGTACAAAGGCAATTTGCTACGTCATTATGATCTTCCTAACATGTTAACGAACCTATTCAGGTACTACAGCATGTAATTAATTCACTGCGTGTCATTATAGTTGCAATTCATTTTGACAATAGGTGCAGGTCTGCGTGCCTCATTAATGCACATGCATGGTATAAGCTCGCATGATACAGCTTTGCAAGATTGTATTGCCCCTAAGAATTCTGAAAATACAGCGCTGCAAAAGTCCCTGCAACTTGTGCGATATGCTGGGTGCTGAGAAGGGTGAAAAAGTATTGTTGCTGGCTTCTTGGTTACATAATAATACTTTTATCATGAGCCTTGTGTGCACTGGCAGCTTCATCACTTCCTTGCACTTCGCCCATCTAACCACGACTGCATGCACCACTTGTTACGTTTCCAGTTTTGGGCAAGGTCAGCAGGTGTGCGGTGTCATTTCACCATATGTAATATTTTCTTATTAAACCTGTGTTATTACTCGTGTAAGCAATATTTTCGAGTGGAGCAGCCTGATGGCTGCAGCATGTTGCACAGCTGTGGTAGCAGAAGACGTCTTTGCATCTTTGTCACCTTTGTTTTACGGATTCTCAAAACAGGCTGAGCAAATGATGTCACTTACTGGCTGTGTGCTATGCCGAAAATGATTTGTACGTTGCATCATGTGTTTTTGGTCAGTCATATGTCAGATGCGGAGTTAGTACAAGAATGCACGATTGACCCATCTTTTCATGATGGAATTTGTTATGACAGCAGCAGGGATTGCAGCACAAAACCGTATCATCTCACATTACGCCAGTCCACGGTACATACAGCACTGGGGCAGTGCCACAATAA